CCAGAGGGCACTGTTCCACTTTATAGATGTCAATTAATCCTACTGCACTACAACCCATGAGGTGTGTGCTACAATCATCTTTTATTTGACACACAGGAAAACTACATCACAGAGATGTTAAGAAATTAAGCCAAAGTCACGCATAGAGCAAGTGATAGAGTTAAGATCTGAACACAGCCTGGTACCAGCCTCAGGAAGAGTCTCATTTAGGAGTCTATGTCTGGGCAGAGCTGAAGAATAATTAGCAATATCCAGGTGAAGTAGTGAGACAAGAGTCTTCTAGGTGGGAGAATGTTATAGTTTGGATCTTAAATGCCCCCCACTGAAGTCCTCTGAATTGAAGGCTTATTCTCCAACCCATGATACTATAGGGAGGTGGTGAAACATTTAGGAGGTGGGGCCTAGTGACAGGAATTTAGGCTCTTGGGAGCATGCCCATGAAGGGATATTGGGACCCCCTTTCCTGCTTCTTTTTTGCCTCCCAGTCACCATAAGATGAGCAGCTTTGCTTCACTGACTACTCCCTGCCATGATGTTCGGCTTCAACAAAGTAGTGACATCAGAGTGGGCACTGTCAGTGATAAAGGAGAGGGACAAGTTCCCTGGTAGTCGATGATAGACATGGAGGTATGCTACTCTGATCTTCCTTCAAGAATCTGCCATTCACATTCAGGGGACTGAGGTGAGCCAATGGGATCAGCTCAGGGACTGCAGGATTTCGAGTAGAGCTGATATTCTCCCCACTTAGCTCTCAGCCAAAGACTAAGATTTTTATACTTTGAGTCCTTTTGTCCCAACAAAATCTCAGACAGAGCCTATTTTATAATGCAGATAAAGCTGTTCTGATTGAAGTAAGAGTGGAAGACTCAGGATTCAACTTTCTATGTTCACAGCACTCCAAGGTTATTCAAGGCAAAGTTGGGGAAATGATTGCCAGCCACTGAAGGAATTTTTTTTAATTTTTGTAAGCAGCAAAGAGGAGTTTATTGTGAGCTAACTCAGTCCTCTGCGCACACAGCAACTGGTGATGCTGAGAGGCCCAGAATCCAGGGTTTGCAGCAGTTTTATTCACTCTTTGGGGAAGGCAGGGACTTCACATACATCACAGCATCTCTTAGCAAATCATCACACACCGCAGGAAAATCATAAAACAACTCTAAAACATGATTAGCACATTCACTGGCGGGAACAAGTTGGGTAGGGGTGATTGGTTAGTACAAGGGGGGGATTCGTTTGAACTGATTGGTTTAACCCATGAGGGGTGTACGTGCTGAACTACATAGTTTCCCAACATGTTATCAACCACCATAAACTACTGGGAGGGTCACCTGGCATCCCAGGTATTTTCCCTGTCTCATGCTGATTGGTAGTTGCTAGAGGGTTGCTATATGGGTCCTGGCGCCACAGATCTCTCCTATTATTTGCAGACAAACAACTCAGCAGGGTGGGTATGTGCCTAGGAGTGCTCTGTGGGTTTTTCCAAGGACAAGGGCCATGCCCTCTTCCGTGGACAGGCTTTGCTCTGAGTTAGAGGCTGGTTTCTCAAAAATGGAGTCACATCAGTTTCTCGATGTCAATGAGTACACCCTGGATGACTATTTAGGTTCCCTCCCAAAGCCTTCCTACAGACTGTTTTTAAGTGTGTAGCCAAGTTCACAAACACTCTGATTCAGCATACATACCCAAGGTTATAAACATTTGTTTATGAGCATGCACCCACTGATGTAACCTGCTGACAATGTGCCTTCTCTGCTCTGCAATATAAAAAGGCCTATGAGGGCTAAATGGAACTCGTTGTGGGGGTGGGGGGTTAAAGCTGGAACTGGAGGCTGCTTAAAGGCTGCTGCCCTCTCTAAATAAAGTATGTCTACTATCCCAGCTGCATCTTGCATCTTCTTCCACCTGCCCAGATCCTGAATCTACTCCCCAGGATCTGAGCCTCGGCAGGACAAATGTGTATGATGTGTGAACTGATTACAAATGAATGGGATGGGACTGTAGCTCAATGGAAGAGTGTGTCTCCTGAATGCACCAGACTCTGGGTCAAATCCCCAATACTGGAAGAAAAAAAGCATGGGTGGTTGGGTAGATAGGTTCTGAATGAAGAAATAGATGAAAGATGAATGGAAGAATTATGAATGCAAGGAGGTGAAAAGATTTACAGAAGTCGGTGTAGGGTGTGCTGAATTTGCTGTTTCCAAGCTGTGTATGGGCAATGGAAATGGTCACAGATGTCAAGGTCGCAAGAAAGGTCAATGTTAGAAGACCGAGGCTCCTCCGGTAGCAAGAAAAGAGGAGGCGGAGAAAAGTTGGAGGCGCAAGACCCTTCAGCATCACGGCCTACTCTGCCCATTTCAAGCCCCACCGCCCCATTTCTGCAGGCCCAGCCGTTTCCTGCAGACCCCGCCCACGAGCTTGGCCGCCTTTCACCCAAGTCCTCACACAAAGTCCTCAGGCCTTCTTCCTAAAAGAGTTAAGTAACGTAAAAAGCCCCCCACTAGAGCTTGACCGCAGTGCACGCCACCCTTTGGGGGTCGGTTTCTCTACACCTCCTCTGCTGCGGCCTCTTGCTCTCGGTGTCTAGCAGACTACAATGAACTTTACGTGGTCGGTGACTTAAGTGGATTCTGCGCCTCCGCCCGCCTGATCCAACCAATCAGTCTTTCCAATCAGTTGTGGCTTGATGGACTGCAGGAATTCCAGCCAAGGTCGTCTCCCGGAATGCCACGGAGCTGCGGTCCTCCGACCATGTACCCCAGCCCCTCTTAAGTGAGGCGGGATTGGCTTACGTCATTTCCGGTTGCCTGGGTCAGCGTGAGGAGCTGTGGTTGTGCAAATCCCGAGAGCCAGGAGACCGGATTTGAGACTTTACACTGAGACTCGAATGGAGCTGCGGGTTCCAGGCTTGTTTCGTCCCTGCTAATCTCAGCATGGTCGTGGACCTGTGGTTCTGATTGTGGACCTGAACTGCGCAGAGCCTGAGAAAGGAGATCAGGGATAAGAAGGAAAACGGGTTGAGTCACAGCGTCAGGTCACAAAGTAAATCAGAGGCAGGCTTACAGGCAAGTCCCTGCTCCTCAGCTTTCAGTTGTTGCAGGGCTCAGCTCTATAAAATGGCTGGTTATGCCAATACTCCCAACACTATGCAGACACTTAAGGAAAAAACGGAATGTGGCATCTGCCTAGAACACTTCAATAATCCTATGTCCATCAGCTATGGGCACAACTTTCCGCCAACCGTGTGTGACCCAGCCGTGGGGCTTGAAAGATGAGGCAGATTAAGATGAGAAGAGGAGGAGGCAGTGGCGGGTGTTCCGTGGATGGGTCAACTCCATTCGGGAGGTCTTGTATTGTAGGAATGCTTTTTGTTCCAAAACCGAGAGGATGATTGAACTCATTGTTGGTGACGATGGTATCAGGAATAGGGACAATGAGGACCATGTGTAAGACCAGGAGGAAGAAGAGGAAGTTTGGAACTATTACCTTAGGATTGGGACATGACCTGAGAATTGATGTCTATCCATAAGAGATAACTAGAAGAATATGATGAAGACCACGAAGAGCTGTATCCTGTCACCCACTCGCTTTCCCCACTCCCTCCACCGCAGTTAACCTGTCCCGATGCCAAAAGAGTTTTACAGTTGCAGCTTTCTTCCTACCTTACAGCTGGCCAACAAAGTCCATATAATTTGCCAAATGTGCCCCACTATTTATGAACGAAGTAGGGGGAATGAGCTCCAAACACCAAGAAGCCTTGAAACTCTTCTATGAATTGGACAAAGAATCGATTCATGTGGTGTGCTGAGAATCAAGGAGCCACAAACAGCACAGCCTGGTGCCACTGGATGGAATGGCTCAGGAGTAAAACGTGAGAATAAGAAGACAACGGGGGAGGGGGTTGGCAAGGAAAGAAGGGAACTTGTTAATAGTGGCATCCCTTCCCCACACTGCCAGGTACTTGAAAGTTGAACTTTTCTATATTTGGAGGGGAAGGGAGCACAATGAAGAGAGATGGGCATTGTGTGGAGAAAGGAGATAAAATCATGAAGGCTGGAGCTGGCTTCCTCAGAAGAAACTGAGCAGACATATGGCAGTCATCAGAAACCACTAATGTTGATACTTTCAGTTTACCTAAGAGTAAGGGGTATGGGTAACAGATATTTAGTGCTTGATTTCCCTGTAATGTAAGTCTTGAACAAGTATAATTTGAATAACTTGACTAAAGTCTCAAAGACCCTCACAGACAGGAATAAAAGACCACAGTACATAGTAGATGTTTGGAACCTCAGAGCACAAACAATGTCAAAACAAATGTTTAGTATTGATAGACAAAAATGCCAGGAGGGAATCTTCAACTAACAGGAGCAACTGGCCATGCCTCACTCCCAAAGTCTGGAGTTGCTTCTCCACCTTCTGTATAGTCCTTTTTCTTCTGGAGAAAGGCAGAAGACATAAACATCTTTGATAGATCACAGTGAACCTCATGTCCTGACCACTTTTCCTTTCCTGGCATTTTATCACAGTGGAAGGAGGAAGGCTTAGATAACATCTCTGCCACTTACTAATCTTGGGCAGGTCTCAACCTCTTTGAGCTTCTCTTTCCCCCTAGATTAGAGAACATGTATCTGAAAGTATTTTATAAATCAAATCACTAAACAGATATTTGCTTTTTTATTTAGCTTCTAATTTGCCTTCCTTTCCCTGGGTGCTGATATGGTTAATGTCTTGTCTGCTAGTCCTGATCTCCCTAAGCATTAGAGAATTGTTTTAATAGTCAGCAGGAGTACTATTTCCTTACCAAGTCTTGGTGAATTTGACCCCTACTTGTAGTATCCAAGGAAGAAGAGGTAGTCTGTAGGCCAATAAAGTTCTTAACTAGCTATTTAGTAGCAATTGCTTACAGCTTAGTAGTGTTTTACAGTTTATAAAATGTATTTATTTCCTTATGTTTTCCTACAACAGTGGTTTTCAAACAGTGGTTTTTTTGACCAGTTAGGGAGTTTTATAATGAATGGGTCATGCCCAGCATTACTTTAAAATGAAATAAAAGAAAATAATGAAGCACATGGAGAATAGTAAAGGTAAGCACTCCTTTATGGAACTTTTATGTGTGTGTGTGTGTATGTGTGTGTGTGTATATATATATATATATTTTTTTTTACACACATGTGTATATACACATGTGTGTGTGTGTCTATATATGTTTATGATTCATTTTAGAAAAAATGGACTTTTTCTAGGTTGCATTGAAAACAAACACAGAACACTGCCCTATAAGCATCATATATTAAATATTATGATCATCCTTATTTTACAAATTTAGCTACAAAATTCACTGCTACCTTTATCAGATCCTAGCACCATCACTTCCTCAGGGTAATAATTAAGTTTGCTCATGGAAGAAACTATGTCCTGTGCTTCTGGGTTTTACTACACTGAAGCTAAGAAGGAAAACTTCCATTCTTCTTCTAGAATTTTCTGGAGAAGATTTTGAAATTAAAATTTTAATGGAAAGCTAACTTAAGAAAAAATAAATTATTCCTTTACTTGGGGAGACCAAATGATTCTTCAAACCAGAGAAGTTCCTTATATAGCATATCAGTAAATATAAACAAACATCAAAACTAAAAGAAACAAATTAAGATAACCCCTTTCTTAAATAATAGGATAGTGAAAAATAAATACTAGAGGTGTAGCTCAGTGGTAGAGTGCTTGCCCAGCATGCACAAGACTCTGAATTCCATACCCAGAAAAACAAAACAAAACTGTACAGTAAAAGTACACTTTTATTTCAAACATACCAGGATTTAAATGATGGTGGTGCCAAATACAGGAATCATACTTACCAGGTAAAAATTTCTATTGTACGTAAGTTATATATATATAAACTGATAGTAATTGACATGTTCTCTTTCATTAAACAGTTCATAGTTTGTCACTTCCTTTCACTGGTGATCACACAAATTATAATAGCATGATTTAGAATTTGACTTAACTCATAATAGTTAACATTATAAAGAACTATTTTTGTATGATGGTCTACTTAGTGTGTATACATTGTAACTACCAGCCAGGTGTGGCTACATAGAATTCTCTCTTGCTAGTTACTAATTCAGCACAGATTTTTTTGTCTACTTTGGAAATAATCAAGCTTTTCAGTTTTAGGAGCATTGTGGAGAGAAGTTGTTATTAATAGACTTAAGAATGTCAAGTGATTTTCAGGAATAGGAGAAAAAGGCACTTCTCCCACACAATTGATATTAGCACTGTAGGGTATGGAGACAATAAAAGTTTATAAAATATTTATTGTTGTAATGTTTAAAAGAAAAAAAATGATTAATTTTCCATAATGTAGGAAATAAGTTTGGAAAGAATTCCTCGGCTGCTAAGTCTACAAAGGAGACAGAGTAAGAAAGTACTGAGTAAGGCCTATATGTAATCAATAAGGAATATTGGTCGGGTAGCCATATATGTTCACTGTGGGCATGGTATCATTTATACAGCTATTTCTCTTGCATATGCAGTACAAATGTTTTGTTTTGAGGTCCATGTTCTTTTCTTTTTAGTACTGGGGATTGAACCCAGGGGTGTTTAACCACTGAGCCACATCTCCAGCCCTTTTTTGTATTTTATTTAGAGACAGGTTCTCACTGAGTTGCTGAGGCTGGCTTTGAACTCTTCTTAATCCTCCTGCCTCAGCCTCCTAACCCACTGGGATTACAGGCATGCATCATCACGCCCTGCTGATGTTCTTTTAAAAACTTATTTTGTATAAGAAGAGGCTTTTTAGCTGTAAAAAGCTTACTTATTTACATCTTCCTTTTAGACTGTCCTGTAATGTAGAGCTCATCTTGACTCTGCAAGCTAGAATCAGGAGTATGAAAGGAAAATCATTTAAACTGAGTGGTGTACACTTCTGTAATCCCAGCTATTGGGGAAGCTGAAGCAGGAGAATCAAAAGTTCCAGGCCAACCTGGCCAACTTAGTTCTACCCTGTCTCAAAAATAAATAAATAAATAAATAGATAGATAGATAGATAGAAAGTAAGATCATTTACATTTGACCATGGGCATGATTAGCTGGTCAATGAACAAAGATTTTCATTTCCTGAGGCGGAACTGGATGCCTTTATTGCTCTGCCACCCTGCCGCTGCCAAGAAAATCATTCCTCACTCTGCAAGAGGGACCAGATGATTCCATCACAATACTCCTTGTTTTCTGTTTTCTCCTTTGAGGTAGCTAAAAAGGGCAGCCTCCCTAAAATCTTTTTGAGGCTTTTAATCAAGCATATATTCACGTTACAATGCAGAAGACAGGGTTAACTTCTTAATTTGATTTATCTGACACCATGCCAGACACTTAAAACAGGGGAGTGTTCTGCAAAGTGTAATTTTCAGCAACTGTAGGACTGAATAGTACTGGAATATTAACAGGAATCTTCAAAGACCATGAAAGTAGCTAGTTGCAGTGGCACATACCTATAATCCCAGCAGCTCTGGAGTCTGAGGCAGGAGGATTGCAAGTTCAAAGCCTTGGCAATTTAGGAAGGGAGGGGAGGGGAGGGGAGGGGAGGGGAGAAGAGGGGAGGGGATGAGATGTAGCTCAGTGGTTAAGCACCAGGTTCAATCTCTGGTACCAAAAAAAAAAAGAAAAGCCCGTGAATGAAAGCATAATATTAAATAGCTCTTTTAATTACAAAGAAGAAAATGAAGAAACTTATGATGCTTCACATTCCAAGTTCTACCACAACTTTGAAAGGAAATTAAGGAATCCCAGAATGTCTTCATCTACTTCAGTATTAGCTCTGAATTAATGACTAAGTTTATCAAACTTCAGGTCATCCTTTGATGCTTTTAGTTGAAATTATCTACTAATGACAAAACCTACTTTGCTGACATTACAAATAAGATTCTCAGGGCTGGGGATATAGCTCAGTTGGCAGAGTGTTTGCCTCACATGCACAAGGCCCTGGGTTCAA